TCCGAGCTTTGACTTTTAGTTTTGTCCAAATAAGAAGGACTTTTCCCCCGGCCACTTAATTGGCCCTCGAGAGCACGGCTTTTGATCTAATTACCAGCTTACCACCATTAATTAGCAACATCACAGATTACTCGGCAGTTGGTGAATAATGAATATATTGCGTATAGCATGCGTCTGTCATATTGCGTCTTTTCCATTCTCATCATCGCCACGTGCGAATGTTAGACCTCCTTAAGATTTACTGATTCTTATTATAGTATATCACCATTATCTTGTTCTACCTACCTCTTTTACAATGAATTTCCATCAGCTGGGAAATGCGTTAATGTCAAAGTTTCTCCAACAACATAATTATTCAGTAAAATATTGAGTGGTACTTAGAAATAGCAACACTTTGCAACAGCCGAACCTCAGAAAAAAAGAAGATGAAGTTCTTCTGCCTCAGTCAGTCACTGTTTTAGAATTCGGCCCTGCATTCGAGTGCCAGTTAGAATCGTAGTGGCGATTCGAAGGGATACGTGGGCTTTGCAATGAATTGCGGTAGCCAACCAGTGTACGAGTCCCAGATGATTCTGTACCACCCACAAAGGGATGGAAAGCTGGCTGGCCTTCGCTAGTACTAAACCGGGATTCGAACCCTTAGGATGCATTTGATAGTACACCACTGCACAACCCTCGCCTATGCCAGTAAACATCTTAGACCTGTAGCAAGGGAGCACCTGTATCCTGCTCTACTTGTGCCCAATTCGATTCAGCAGTCATCGTTATCATTCTCCAGGGAATATACAAATTCTGGACAGGATCATTATGTTCATGTTGGCGTGATAGTGGTGTATATTATACGCACTAAGCGATGTGGTAGATATGCGGTGACAATGATGCATGAGGGGTAGCTGGCGAAGAGTGAGCGACGACGAGAGCTTGAAGAGCCCGATATGATGCTGAAGACACCCTTGTGGCCAATTTACGAACAGATCGCTTTGCATGTCGCTACTTCTGTCAGAGTTCCCACCAAAACATCGTCACCGTCGCCACGGCCGTCATCGCTGGAACACACCTGGTAGCTGGCGACCACTACAGAGTTCGCCCTGTCCATCACAAGTAGTCGTGCTATCCGCAACCGATTCGTTCTCTGGATTCTGTCTAGTTAGGTAGCTTTACTACTTTTCGGGTCGGGACATTGTAAGCAGCCGAACTTAACGTGCATTCATTTCCTGTACCGCTCAATTATGCAGAAATTCCTCTTCATCATTTCCCAGTCAGCTACAGTTTCCTTGATGAATACACTTCGCCACTTTAAAAGGTAGTGATACATTTGATTGATCACTGAATCCTTTCGGAACGAGGTCCCAACTACTTCAAGTGCTCCTAAACAGTACTGTTCACCAGGGGTTAAGGTCTCCTTATTGATTTCTCAGACAAGTTTGTATGTCAGAAGCAGACCCGGAGCATTGGTAAAAGCCGGGGAAAAGTCGTTGATTCAGGCAGTTTCAAGCTCAACGGGAAAGGAACCCAGCAGTAGCTACAGCTCCACTTCATTCCTAGTTGATAAGGCTTGGGGTGGCGCAATTGTGATCCTGAAAATGAGTAGAACTGACAGGCTCTTGACACTATCTATCTACATTATTTTTTTTCAACAAACCAGTTGAAGGGGTGCCAAAGGTTGTAATTCAATTCAATAATTTATTTACTTAATTTCTGTTTATTTTGAAAACGGAAAAGTCAGCTAAGCGGTTATAGTCGCATGAGCTTGTTAAACGTCAAGCAACGCCCCTGTTGTCCAGTTTCTCCTCCTACTACGGAGAATCGGCTTCCACACCTGAAAGGCTTCCAAGATGCCTCCCTTTACAAAACTTCTAATTGAATGCAGTAAACATCGACGATGTTTCCCATTCTTGTTTTTGAGAACGATGCTCGCCAAAGCAATTATGTAGACAAGAGGTTGCATTTCGCTGTGCATACGTTAGCATTCAGGATGGCTTTCTTTGTTTCTCCCCTTCAGAACCGACCCTTCATAGAAAGACCGTTTGAAGTTCTTTGCTATTTTCTACATACTTCCGTTGCCATTTGAACTTATCTACTCGTAAAGTAAAATATCCCAATTTAAGTCCTCAGACGGGGGCCGGTTAATTGGTATCAGCTTCATCTGGGAGGATAAAAAATTGACTAGTACATCGGCTAGCCACCGTAATTCATAGTATAAACCAAAAACGCATTCATTACTCCATTAAGATTCTGGGAAGAGGTCGAATGCGGGCGCATCTTCAAAAAGCGGTTGAGTAACTTTAACAATTTAATCTTGCCATCTTTAATAAAAGGTATCAAAATAGTAATAAAGCATATTGTACAAGTTATGCTACATTCATAATGCTACTACTATACATGATCGAGTATATGAAGTAATTGCGGAATGCGTAAAATGAGTAGGAATGCGTAGAAAGGAGAATGGAGAATGTTGGCATCAAAATTCCTCATGGGAGTTATTTACCCTCTTCAACGGCTTGGGAGATGTTTTGGTACAGATGTACTTGTTTTTCACCAATAAAATTTTTGAACACTGGATAGCGTTGCTAGGAAATACGTAAGCCAAAAAGTGAGCTTTCAAACCTCTCGAAACGGCCTCGTCTAGAAATTAACCTGACATGAGCCTCTCAACCATCTCACGCTCACATACCCTTCCAGCAAAACCTTGTAACTGAATCTCTTGAAAAGATCAGTTTCAACAATAGTCTAGATAAAAGCTTTTACATGAAGAAGCAACTTTTCTGAGCTCTACAGACCTAGAACCCATTTTTCTGCGCACTTGCCTTTCTTCAGACTTCCATTTCAGTAGCCTTCCATTCTTCATTTATCCTGGGCAGTACTCAATCTTTTCATTTAATGTTGAAAGATAAAATTTTTTATCAACTATGCATACAGCGCTTTAACATTACCATCGGGAGTCAGTCCATGTGAAAAGGTCTATTGAAAAGTACTTTTGAAGAATGAAACCGGTAAGCTCCTTTTAAAATGAACGTGCGGAACTATAATAGATATACATTTATGTAGTCGGCATTAGAATTTTCATGTAAACGTGAGATAACGTATAAATTTAACAAAGTTAACATTAACATTAACAAAGTTTTTCTTCGATTTTTTGCCAGACCCCTCTGTTTCCAAAATCTTTTATCGAGCCATCGATGTTCCAGATCACAGCTGCCTATCCCTTTGCAGATATTTGATTAAGTGAAGATCAAAGACTGAATAATTCTAAAAGTTGAATAGTAATTCCTATATACTCTTATAGTACTCTCAACTCAGTTGCCAATCATGGAGGTTCTCCTGAGAACGGTCGAGTTTCAAGGGAGAAATGGGATAACTCCCTCCAAACAGAACTTCATCGAAGTAATAGTGTATATTCAGAATCGGCCTGAGGAGTTATTCCCAGGCATGTACAAACTGCTCAATAACCTTTCACAAAATTTTCTGTCGATTTTTTTACCAGTCCCTCGATTTCCAACAGAATTCTTTTCATCGGGCCATCGATGTTCCAGATCACAGCTGCCTATACCCCCATGAATATTGGATGGCGTGAAGATCAAGTATTCAGTAATTTTCAAATTTGAACGATAAATCTTATATATTCTAACATACATTCAACTCCGATATCGACCATGGTAGTTATTTTTGGAACAGTAAAGTTTGAAGGATGAAATCAATATCGTTCTTTGAGCTGACGTACCATGAGTAGTACTGTATATATATCTCACATCAGGTGGAACAGCCCTTTACAGGCATACACAAATTGTGTGACGACCTTTTATAAAATTCCTTTTTGTATTTTTTGCCGTCCCTCGATTTCCATAATCGATTCCTTTTTTCGAGCCATCGATGCTCGAGATCATGGCAGCCTATGTCCTTGGAGGTATTGGATGAGCTGAAGATCAAGGACCTAGCAATTTCCTGAGATTACTAGAGAAAATTGTATAATTTACAGTACTCTCGACGGCCCTTCCGCCCACGGAACTTGATTACTGTATGGTCAAGTTTCGAAGGAGAAAAGGAATAATATGTGGAGTTAACCTCATCGAAGCAGTATATACTTATATTCGGAATTATGGCAGCCTACATTTTTGCGGATGTTGAGTTTAAGGGCTTAGTAATTTTGGGAGTTGAACAGTAGATCTCATGCGTTTTAGCAATAATCCGTACCCTGATTCCAATCTTGATGGTTATTTTCAAAACGCTCAGTCTCAAGGAGAAATCTAACGATTAATTTAGAAATCATATATTTAATTAACTGCACCGAAATCATCTTGAAGACTTTCTTGCCCCTTTACTGGTCCCTCGTTTTTTATAGAACAATAATTTGTTTTTCTTCAAACAAATTCGTTCAATCGAATTATATCAGAAGTGAGGGAGGGGAGCAGGAGTATAGAGGCTTATTTTGACTTGTCTCCTCTTGATTGCCTTCTTCTCGACCTCATCCCAGTGAAATGCGCAGCTTCGCATATCATCATGTCACACCCCTGAGTCCATCAATGTTAGCTGTCACTCACAGACTCACAATGCCCTTTTCAAAGATTCTCTAGAGTTACTTTTTGAACTCTTCATACTCACAGACATTAAACCTTTCAGTTTGTAGCCATACATTTCCCAACATTCCACATAAACATCTTTTCCGAGACTTAAACTGCCAGTAGATATTTATTCTCATCATAGAACCTTTCTGCTGAAGTTGTCTTTGCGGAACATAAAAAATGCATGACAGGAAGGGATCTCTACCAACGTAAACAATGCCGCAAATAAAAAAAGTAGTATAAATCACTTTCTGTGCCATGCACGTCTGACTACTTTGCATTGGGTAAAAGCCACAGAATAATGGATGACTTGTAGCACTAAGAAACCAGTATGACCTCATTCAAATTGTAAAGTTACTTTTGACTCAGGTAGCAACGTTTAGTGCCACAGCTGTTTCGGTTATATAGAAATTAGAGTTCTGAAAGAACAGGTATTTCAGAATGGATCTATACAGTTATAGCCGTACTTGTAAAGGGATATCGTCCTGGTGAGCCCTTATCACCGTTAGGATTCGAGGTAGAGATCACATTAGGTGGGAGTTGACAACAGGAATAGGGTCCTCGGCTCTTTTGAAGTTGACATAATATTGTAAAAAAGGCAACTTAATGACTGGTTCGGCCTATCCTCGCCCTTCCCCTTGTGGAGTCATATATAAATAAATACCCCTGGAAAAAGAAATTATCTAAATAGGGTCCTCAGTTCAGTTTATAAGACCCAAGTGGATGTCGTAAGCATAGCCCTATAATGTAAGATTGATAGTACTCGACTCCCAATATTTTAGCATCCCCTCGTAGTAAAAAATAAACTTATGGAAATGCACTTATAAACCTCAGGATCACTTTGACTCTACGGCACAGAAAGGGGACTGAAAGGCGCGACCCTTCAAGGTTATGCCCATAACTTTTCGTTAAAGCTGAAGGCTCTCTAATGCTCTACGTAAATCATTTATTATAATGGAAGGGTCGGCTTTCTCAGTGGTAATAAATAATTCTCCGAATGATTTTTAAAGAAGCTTTCGAAAAACGAAAGAAAGCCATACCTCTAAAGCTGCAGCCGTCATAAAGGCGTGGAAACTACTGCTCTAAACCTCTATAATGCCCTTTTTTTTATCCAAAGCCATACGACTAAAACTTTTCAGGGTCGTATACAAGTAATAAAATAGCGAGAAATGGTATTTTTCCTGAAAAGTACTTTTCGAATTGCTCAGAATATTTGTAAATTTTCACCATTTCTATCCTTTTGCCATAGTGCTCTTTACTACTTATTATCACTTCTTATCACCGGTTATCCTTTTATCTGTATCCACATCTTCCATTCATTTTCATCACTTGACAGATTGCTGCTTTTCTATTCTTCACTAATCAATTAAATGTTATAAATAAAATCAGATTCGATTTTTTCAAGGGTGAAATTTCAGGATCCTTCAGCTTCATCTTTCTCTGTCTTGACTCATTCCGTGAGTACCAATGCCGCTTTGGAGTTCTTCAATCTAATGCGATAGACAATTGCTACTGCTACAGCATTTTTATTAGCTACTGCTGAGTAGTAATGAGTTCTGAAACAAACTTTTCTTAAGATCATTGGTTGATTCGGATTTTTACTTATTACATTTTTTAACTACCGTCCACCGCCGGTATCGCCAAATCGCTTCTGTAAGTAACTTTCATATGAACATTCAACATTTCCAACTGGCTGTGGAAACTAATGAAACGCACTCGAAATCCTTATCTCGTTGATGATCACATAAAGCGGTTTGTGGGATTAAAGCGGCGGCTTGTCTCACTCCCCAATCATTTCTCCAGCGTTTGATGATGATCCCATCATTAAAATGTCTGCCATAACAGCTGAAATGCTTCTCAAACAGATGCATGGAAATCAATAATTCGTATTAGAACTAGTATACTTTTTTGTATTACGAAGGGCAACTATGGAAACTGGTAATGTTCGAGTAATCACATACGTCGTCTTTCCTCGCCGTGCTGAGACATCTTTCAGAACCACTTCATTTAATGAATTCCCCGTTTCAGTGTTCGTTTTGAGTTCGGAAGAAGTCAAGCCACACGGATGCGGTGGGTGGCCGCAGTGTTCCTCATCGAGGTTGTGACAGCCACATGCCCACCACAATGTTTTTGTAAAGGTCAGTAAATCATATGTCGTATCAATTGGTGGTCGGGACCTGAAGAATTCAGAGTAAGCCATGAACCTCTACTTACAAAATTTTGTACTGAAACAGTACTGCTGGCCAGCTCATCCATGTAACCTAATGACTTTGTAAAGCTAAATGTAAATTTGAACACAAGTGAGAAAAAGGGCCACAATAAGGCTGTAGAAGGGCTCAGGAATTGCTTTTTGACGGTGTTGCTTCGCAACTCACACATGCTTGCCTTCAAGGTAGCAGTAGACGTTATTTTCATAACTGTACATCCAGCATAGCATTTTTCTCCGTATGCTTAATTACTTTCAAAAATCTTCAATTATCCTAACGTACATCAATTTGTTACAACTGAGTGAATCGTCACAACACTTGAATCTTGCGTAGAGGGAGTGGCGCCGCAAACTGCGACAGTTACACCTGCGGAACAATTCGGTCGTAGAACGTACTACTGTCAAAACTATACAAGTAAATCATACAAACAATGACTCGGAAGCCAAATGGTGAATTGACGCACGCAGGCCAATTTGCCCATTCTTCTCTACGCCTTGTCTTACGCAGGGGATATATTTAGACGACTACTGAGCGGTGAAGTACTGATCGAACCCCGTCAACTTGACTGGCTGCTCTCAAAGCACATATTTACCCAAAGACTTTTCGATACTTCATTGTAACTAAATACTGTTATCAACGGCATTTCAGGTAATTCGATAACATGTATCTCACTCAATGAAACTAATCTTGCCGCTCTCAATGTTCATCTGTCGTCAACGGAATGGAGTGGTCTGAAATCGTTGTCAATTCATGAGACCCCTTCAATTTCGTTGGACCTCTTACAACCCCTTACACTTCTAGAGTGAGTTCTACTCAGAAACGGTGGTTTTGCTGATTTGTTGAATGTAGTGAACGTTTCAGAGAACTCGACTTGAGCAACAACAATCTTAGTGAAGCCTCATGGCTTGGCACACGGGCAGCGTTCCCGTCCATTAGGAAGCTTGTGATCGAGCATAGCAGTCTTACGGTACCCCTTTAACCTTTCAGACATATATATATATATATATATATATATATATGAAATATTAAAAATATGGATTTAGAGCATAGAACGAGGATTATTAGCACCCTTTCCACAAATAGAGGAGCTGCACTTGGGCCACAATAAAATCTCTTCAATAGGATATGATTCGCTTCGAATGCCACGGATCCGGAACATTCGTTTGAATGATAACAGAATTCAGGTAATTACTTCAAATTAAAAAGCGATGACGTCACTGGAGATAGTACTCGTTGCAGGCCATTGGAATGCATGCGTTCCGGTTTATTCCACAACTGAACGATGTCGATTTGAGTGGCAACAGAATTGAACGATTTATGGTAGGCCATCATAATATAATAATTATAAACTAAGAAAAAACGGTCGATGAAGGAGACTGTAAGGGCATCAAAGACATTGCACACTTTTAAAAAAACCCTATGGTACACCAAATGGTAATGGTAACAAGTTATAGCAGTAATTTTGAGGGAACTGCTATCGATTACCGGTACCGTTCCAATAAAAAGGATCTTATGAGTTCCTTTCACAGCTCTCAGCTCTTTATGGCACCTCCCTAGATGTATTAGTGGCCCTTCCTTAAATTGTTTTTCCGTTTATTCCGATCGATTTCTATACAATTCTCATGTGCCAGAGCAACGGTAACGAAAGCTCATGAGGTTGCAGGGAGTGCGACTTCGTACCGCAAAATATCCCGTGCCAAGCACTGGTCATGTCCAATCTAAAGATGACTGGCAGGTTCGTGTGCGTGCAGCGGTCCCGCCATGAACTTAAATTTCATACAGTAATACGGAAATGTTGAAGGGTGCTTCTCCGGCTATGGCTTGTAAACACTTGCCATTGATACTTTTTCCAAACTTCCAAACAGCGAATTACCTCGTCACTACAAAATATTTAAAATTTAAACCCCAAGGGGAAGTCAACCCCGAAATGGGTTGGCAGACCTGTATGGGATTCTAGTTGGGACGCTGTCTAGAAGGGAGTTGAACCGCTAGTAGTTGCTGAGTCACGTATCTACCAAGGAATATATTATCGTCTCCATCCAGTTTGGTAGTCCATTTTGAGTTTTGATTTCACAATTTTAATAAGGCTTATTTCTAGATGAGCGATTTTTCGACGGCCACATCCTTACGTTTTCTGAATGTAAGCCGAAATCGGATTCGAAGCGTCGAATGCGACTCCATTACACCCATGCTATCAGTGCGTATTCATTTTTATTTTTACAAATTTTGTAGTAACGTATTATTACTTATGTCATCGAAGCAATTACTGCTTAAAAGCGGCTAATTGCGGTATTCAGCTGGAAGTGCTCGACCTCAGTTCGAACAACCTCACACAGCTTCCTGGAATTGAGCTGCGTAGCATGGAAGGATTACGGACTCTACTGCTGGCTAACAATCCTATCACAGTGATAGGCGAGGGACAAGCAAGTCTTGATAGTCTTCAGGTGAATATCGAAACTGTTCATACACTTGAAAGTCTCAAATGTAATCAAATTGTTTAACGAAATCTTCTTCGAAGAACAAAGAAAAACGGAGCAGTAGTAATGATAGTAACAACAATACCAATATAATCTCTGACACGGTGTGTTGCTTTTATACAGAGAGATCGATTTTTCCCGAGTGGGCCACGTATTCGACCTCTGCTTGACATTTGGTTGGTACATTGACATATAACAAATAGCTGGCTGGGTCATAATAAGTGGAGGATGAGTTTGAAAATTCATGAAGCATTTCATCCCAGAGTGATTGCTCTACCTTACAGTCAGTACAGATACAGGTATAGCAATGTAAGATTTATCGGGTATACACGCAGATATTGCTAAGTCATAATGGATTACTGGACCCTCTAACCCATTTCAATCTAATTTGCGATTTCCGAAAAGTTAGAGGGTCATTGACTTCGAGGAATAATACTGACGGTGAATGTCAAGAAAAGATTTTAGAATCGGCCTTTTTTTGTTCCACTACGAAAATGTTCAATAGTATGTAGATGCTTCCGTTTATTGGGAGGTACTTTCTAAAAACTTATTTATTTTATTCAAGTGGCTGGACCTGTCATCAAGTGCATTGAGAGTGGTAGAAGCTGGAGCATTTTCTCGCCTTCCAAGGCTCCACTCAGTTTTCTTCGCCGACTGCAGGGATCTTACATTCATTTCGCCGGCAGCTTTTGAGAACATCAGCGTCTTCAGGTAAACTTTTCCTGAAATTTAAATATAGAATTTTTTTTTCGAATTTTTCTAGCATAAGTAACATACGTAGAAATTTGCAAGCAATATCGTATTACAGCAACATTACAAGCATCAATTCAATTCGTTTTATTTAGCCTCGATATTTCTGGAACTGGGTTAAAATCTCTATCACCAGCTCTTCTCTCCAATATTGCACGAGTAAGTTTCCCTTCAATCGGTTAGAGTAATTACGAGTTACTTTTTATGTTTACCCTTGTGTTAATATTGAATTACGGGTTTTGTCCCAACTTGGGGACATAACCCGTAATTCACAACTTGGGATTGGGCCCTTCGATCTTCAACCTTATGATATCGCAGGTACACCTTTTCTAAAGAACCTTTTCAGCAATACAACTTCTGGATTCAAAAAAATTTATTTAGAAAAAAAGTTGCACTGTAGGTTCAGGCGGTATTTATGGCATTGCATGAGATTCTCCATCTCTCCAATAGCTATTACCATTACTAGTACTACTACTGTTACTACCATAGCTCTCCTGCTTACTATGTAGTTGCTAGTATATAAAGACATTTTCGAAATAAAATTAAAAACGTTGGTGAGATGGTTTGAAAACCGAAACTACAAGAGCAGATGAGATTGGAACGTTTTGAAGGTTCGCATCTCCGATGTTCCATTGGACTGTGGATGCCTCGCAGAACAGTTGAGCTCCATTACCACTACGACCATAACGGACTGGGGTAATTCCACATGTGTCACTAGAGAAGGGGAAGTGTTGAGGTAGAGTTTCGTCAAAACTTACTAAAGTATTATAGTAAAGTAGTGGTCGGGAATTGTGGGGTAAACCTATCCACGAAGATCAAGAACATTCGCTATTTGAATTTGTACACCACTATTACAGCATCCCCAATCTGTCGCCGACGAGTTTGGCCCGAAGTGAGCAATGCCGACCAAGTGTGGTCTTGCCGTTCGGCCATGAAGTTGTAGCAAGTGTTGGCCAAACGTTCAAAATTTACTGCTCCGGTGAGTATCATAGAAATCCCAACTACCCGAAAGGTCGTCTTTCTTCATCTTAGCTTCGTTTCCTCTTGATTTTCAGGGACGGAAGAGGAGGACATCGTTAAATGGAAATCACCGGCCGGTACGACTGAATATGCGATCAGGCCAGAAGTAACCTTTTTTCATTTGTTTGCTCATTCAAACACTCAAGGGAAACAAAACTGTCAGTAAAACTAACCTTTGCATTCAGTTTGAGTAGAGAGATTTGAAAAGTAGGAGCAGAACCCCGTGTTCTGATCTGCCATCGAACATCAAAAGCTAAAAAAAGTAGCTCTGACTCATTCGTGCGACAGGGTTGCGTACGATTCTTTCGCTTCATCCCGTATAGCCACCCATTATAGCTAAGAAAGAGTGGAGAAATACTTTAACTATTCATACTACTCGCTTTAACATTCTGGAGAGAACCATCTCAAAACATTTCAGTTTTCATCCGGTTTTGAACGTCTTGACTACTTTACGACGACGCTTTTCGAGCCGCTGAAACGCCAGCGGTTGCGGAAGAGGACGTTGGCCACAACAGAATTCTTCAGGTAATGAAGTCAGCCAAAGTGGCCACTACAGAGCGGCAATTCCTTGATTCGAATTTCCTGATTCTGTTACAGAATAGACGTCGTGTTGAACTCGGATGCTGGCGATTACGAATGTACTATTCAACGGGGAAAATATACGATAACGAGGAAGATTCGGCTAACTGTTCAGGTCCCTGAAATAAAACTGAAAGTGACTCATGTAAGTGTCTTTTATACAATCGAGTAGGTAACCTACCAGGTATTAGGATAATTTGTTACAACTTATACAATTATAAAAGCTTCCCCTTTCAATAGTAATGAGAGTAGTCATTTCTGAGAAAGGAGAACTGGGTCCTGAACAGCCACGATGTTTTTCATGTCAAACTTGCAAAATAAAGGATGTCATTAAATTTACACATAGATCGACTCCTGGAAGTTTCAGACTCACTGTTGCTCATCACATTGATTCTAAGTGGTGGCCTAGGGCACGGCGCATCCTGAATAGGATTGACCGACGCCAAAACTTTCATTTGTTAGCATTTTCTCAATGCCTTCAGTATGACCAAAGAAACCTAGAAGAGGAAAAAGTGACATGCAGTTTCTCAACTATGTAATACTATTTTTTTAACTGTTTTGAAGTAGTATAGCATTGGCGTTATCTTTTGGAAGACACAACGAATCGGGGCGTATTTTAATTACCCATAAAACATCTTCGTGATTGGCATCAAACGTGTTTGAACGGCAATACGGCCACTGCCATAAAACAGAAACAATGGGTTCTTTCATGCCGCTAATTGCATCTCGTAAACTCTCCTTTTAAGGTTGGAGTTTCGTCGGTTCACTTGGCATGGAATCGTAATATCGACGTTCAAGCTGTTGATCGGTAACTTTTGCCGACATTTAGTAAAACTTTGAAAATATTTACAGTAATCGAACTTGGAGAAGAAGCAACGATGAATTTGGAAGAGATTACACACCAGACGTAGGAATACTAAAGAATTCCTTTCATGTAGGCTTCAGAACGTTGAATGCTTTTTGAAGCACTTTGAAAACTCTGAGAGGATAAGGTCTGAACTAGGCGCCAGAAGTGTTTCAAGTGAAAACTTATAGCTTCGAAGCTGATTCATAGACGTCTAGCTACTCCAGAGAGTTCCACCTTGCCAAAAAGTAAAATACTGTGAAACATCGCCGTAGTATAGATTCATTACTATCAGTATTAGCAATATCAATATTATTACACATTATCATAATCGAGATTTTAAGGGTGGCCTTACAAGTGAACTCGACAAGTGCCAGCGACTTCAAACGAGTTGTCCTGCTCTCTCTCCACAACATATACTGCAGCTACAACTTGATCAATTTGTTGCCAGACAGGGTATGTGCGTTTGGAAAATATGGTATATGAAATTTTGAGTTAAAGGGTATAAACTTTCGGTAAAGAGATGAGTTGCGCGTACTGGAACCGTGCTACACGTGCGCTGCACAGCGACCGCTCGCGTCAGCTTCCTCACAATAGTTCCATATGCGGTCAATGTCACATTCTGATCTAATGACACAAAACCAAAAGCGAAGCGTTACTTCAGTGTTAAGAGCCTATGAATTCCTTTTCTCAAGATGCTTAAACTCGAGAAATTTAAGTTGGCAACATCTCGGTACTCAGTACTCCCCTCAATACTGAGACCCTACCTTGAAATAGCTCCATAACTAATGGAGTACATAAAATCAACAAACTCAAAGAGCTTTTTTTCAAGGTGTACACAATCTGTCTGCGTTGGTCTCTTACTGATGATGGGACTGACATTCACAGCGTATGTCTGTCGGAAAGGACCCAGAGAAGTCGATCGATAATGGAAGATCTGGGCGTTGAAGGTGTAGTAGTCATTTGGTAAGTAAATGTAATATTAGCTCCACCAGGGTCTTGATCTTCTCCAGAGGACTTTGATATAATTATGCATAAACTGGTTACTTATTTGATCTATCTTTAGTGTCATTCTGGTATTACTGTCGGTGTTCTTCTGCGGTAGATGGGCATACAATCGATACTTCATCTACTTACGAGCCCGACAACAGTGAGTTTTACTGTTTGGTTTTCGTACTTACTTATATGCACATTCTACTGCTCAAATTCGGCGAGAATTATAGCAGCGATGGGTTGTTTACCTGTTTACACAAGCCTCTCAGGTGTTATCATCTCCATGACAATCTTCGCTTTCGGTAAAATGATAGTGCTTCCAGATCAAAAATGATCCAGTCGGTCTCGGGACAATCAGTGCTGAGCCAACGAAGTAGTGAAGATGCGATAACGTTTGAGAATCACCAACTTCAGGTGGGTTTTTTGCTACTCCAATGAAATAGGGGTATCATACCGCTTGTCTAGATTACCAGTAAACGAGGTTGCCAGTAACCACTTCAGTCAGCCATTCTTTCAGATGTGTTCTTCGTTTTGTGATAGAGACAGTATGGCTAATGGCCCACTTCTGATCAATGTGACATGACGGCGATCGAAACGGCTCGATTGTGGCCACACCATGGCTTCCCATTCTAGGCTGACATTTATCGGGTACTTACAGTGCAATGAGATTTCGTTTAATTACTTTGTTAGCAAAGTAGTATTGTAACAGTAGTTTCTGTTGTGTACATGTTCAAAGTGCCTGTTGTCTTTTTTCAAAGTTTGTTCTTGGAATACGAGTATAACCCCAAGTAGTCTGATCTCGTGTGATGTCGAACTTACTCAATTACTCGATTTTTTACTCGGTATTCCCTATATTCCCACTCAGTGTATATTCTAGTTATCCTTTGTAGTTCATAATTCATTATTAAAATAGGTATATTTAATGTAATTCTAGTACAAATAAGCCATGTCCTGTATCATCCCTCATTGAAATGGCGCTCGAGCATTTTATGGTATCTCAGATGTCTTGATCTGTAATAAATTATTGATTTAACTGAAATGAGTATAACTAGTAACTAAAAAGGTTATTACGAACTTTTTAAAGACTGCCATCGACTTGATGTCAGGCACTAATGAACGCACGTAAGTGGGAATACGATATATCCCATTTTTCAACTCACGGGTACAATGAAGCCCTTCATCCGAGCTGGAGACTACATTTGTTTCAAGAAAAGTATTTTACCTGAATAACTGCTTACTTCCATTCACTCAGGTAGCCTTTGAGTCCCTAATGATATTACTTATTCCTTTCATCCCGGAAGAGGTTAGTTCAAGCAGGGGTGCCTTCAAAATTTCTATGAAAACTCGAGAAAGAAAAGGACAAGGAACCATTTTTACCATTTGGTTCTTTACTGGTTACCAAGCCAATCTTTCGCAACAGACAAAGAGCTATTTTTGGGCTATTCAACGTGTTGTTGATGGAACAGATAGGGTTGACGAGTTTTCCGACATGAATGGCGTTTTATCAGGCCGACACCTGGGCTTATCACTACCGGCTTTCAGGGGAGGAAGTAACTGAACCCTCGTAGTCGCCCCGTATGAGAAGCGCTTCAGTCATTTTTCGTCTCTTTCAATGTAAATCTTGGAAGTTAGTCCTTCCCAGCGTTCATTCCAGGAAGTGATTTTGAGTTCAAAGTCCGTCTTCACGCCTATCAAATCAACATGTGGGGCCGATCACCTGAAAATCATAACACTCATAACGACCGGTGTCAATAACTTTTTTCAAAACCAAAATAATCTGCCCTGTAAGCTGTGGAAACGGTTTCAAAAGCTGTGATAACTAAATGTGAGAAAACGATTTTATATTTCATTTTTATTCATAGGCATATCATAACATTTCTCTGTTTCACATCTTTAATGCTAGACAATTTACATGAATTGGCACATTTTATGTTTGTTTTTGTAATTTTATTTAAATAGACTAAGATCAAGCAAATCAAAGTACGTGATAATGTGAATCCATTCGAAGTTTCATGCTATCATTTTCTCCTACAGGGGTATATATTCTATTGATGGAATGACTCCGAAGACCAGGCTGTTGACATTTCGCTATGCCTAACTTTTCGAGCGATGCTGTGCATAAAGGTCCAAGTTTCCCGTTTGAATTCAGGAGCCAAAAAGCTCTTCGTGACCCTGATACGGTTACAGACGTATGCCACCACTATTGACATCGAACTACTTCCATATACTGGAGCCGGGAGTTTCGTGGAGACGCTGAAATGAGATCCTTTCAGTTACTTTTGGTAAATGCTTCATAGCTACCGATACATTGTTAGTAAAAAATGTGAACCTTTGTGAAAAGTTCATTTTTATTGAAAAGACCCGTTCTGCAGGAAAAAAACTAATTTGATTTCTTGCAAAATGCTTAAACTGGTAGCAGGTTGACCTAAAAAGTGGCAAATCTCCTCTGTGTTTGACTAGTACTGTTTCTTTTTCTTACGAAACCCTGTGTGAAGAACTCATCGGTACCAGTATTTTCCTTTCAGTCAACATACCTACTGATAACTTTCTGATGGAGTAATCTGGCAATCACGAGCGGTAGTACAGAGCTATTTGTTTGACATGACGAACTATGCCAACGTTCGTCTTCAATAATATGTGATTGCTTTTTGTTCTTTTCACCAGTTAAAGAAAACAGCCAGAAGTAAGTATAAGTATGCCATTCTTTTCTATCGCTCAGCGCAGCTCTAATACTCTTGGGAAAGTCTTTCGAAGTTTAGCCATCTCTGGGTTTCTCCCATCTTGTTTTATATGAAGATCTTTTAAAGCCCTTCAGTTGTGCCCCTGTTGATGAGCCTTCGGCATCCAGTGCCTTCCTGAAACTTGTAGAATCTTGTGAGGATGATTCTTACGCTTAACTTTTTGTATATTTTTACTCGATTAAAATAATTGATGGAAAGTCATAAGAGTTATAAAGCACGACAGTAGGGGCCTCGTTGAGGCATGAGCATGGTGTTCACACGCTCGTGGACCGTATCGTACATGGGGTATCCGCTGTTTATGTAACCAGACCTTAGTGTTTACCCGTTCCACCGCACACATACACCGCCGTCATTTCGAACGTTTGTTGCTTCGATTTTGTTGGTTCAGTGTTTCACTGCAGTTTAGTATGTTTATTTAATATTAGAATAATGCGATACTTCTATTCTGAACATCTGTACCTAGGAAAGTTGGCACAGCGTGCCATTTCTATCGTGCACAATCATGCCTAAGAAAACCTTTTCACAACCAAACGATTAGCCTATTTTCTGTGCGCTTTTTGGGATGATCACTTCGGATTTGAAAATCCTAACTGTGTTGTGTCCCTTCTCAAAAACATTTGTGCTACTGTAACTTGAAGAAATTTTTAAAAGTTGAAGATGTAGAAAGATCTTAGACCAAGTTCACAATCGAAATATGCATACAGTTGAAAATAAATTAGTCCCCACCCACGCCATGCTTCCACTGTGGTTGCACTCTTTCACTGAGGTATCCTCGCAAGCTTCGATGTTTATTCTGTTTTCTTTGTTAATTTTCTAGAATATCAGGAAGGAAGTAAATGATGGAATGCTTAGGTGAAAATTTAGTGATTGGTCCAAATTTTTATTTCCATCTTTTGCCACAAAATCAGCACCGATCAAGGTTCCCACCCTTTTGACCATGAAACTTATTATTTTTCCCATTTAGTTGTACTAGCGAAGGAGTCTTTGCCTGTTGTACCATCAAGCAGCCCCTTCTAAGACTTTTTTCAATGCTGGTGAAATCAGTGGAGGTTCCAGGTTGTCTAGTTGGTAATGGCTAAATCAGATCTCAATTCGAAACCAAAGGTGCTGAATACGTGTGACGGGAAGGAGTCTGAGGCAAAGCAACTGTGTGAGGGGTGAGTGGGGAAAACACTCCCACCCTTCTGTCACAGCAGAATCCCTTAATTGCAGTGGAACCATGATGAGTGTTTTTAAGTTAGAGGAATTTCCAAGTTGAGTTACGAGTACGTCATAAGAACGTCGAGAGCAAATTAGGGTTCACTTCAGACCCTTCTGTCGCAACGTATCAAGGTCTCCGATGAAGGACGTTACGCTAAAACATCAGACCATTGAAATCAATTGTTAATCTAAGAGTCCACAATGTTGACAATTGTTACAACAATAACTCGAACGATAGTAATTCTATGGCTGGAGTAAAATGGCGTCAAACATCATCGAGGAGTATAGCCTTATTCCAGTGATCAGTACCAAATGTTATTCAACTGCGCATTACATTACTGGTATGTCGCTCCAGTAGTTGATTGTGATATTCAGTTGGGATTACTCTTTCCGATTCCTAAAGTTGTTTATGATCAATATTTTCATATATTTCTCGAATGGCACCCCTACCGTGCGATTGAATGAACGAAACCGAGTTCCACAGGCTGTTTCTATTCAATCAGAATCGGCATGTTTTTTGAGCCAACAGTTGGGCTCCAGCCGTTTTCATGAGTATTATTGCACCAATATTTTTATATAACGCAAAGTATTCGGATATATCATTGCATTTCATGTATTGGTAATTTTTCCTATCAAGAAAGATACATTTTAACTTTGAACTTTAACCTTTTTGACTTCTTACTGGTATCTAACTGCTTCTAGAGGAGGCAGAACTCGACGCAAATTTTCATGCATACATAACAGAATGTAAAAATGACTTTATAAGTAGAAACTGTAAACAAAAAATTATTGACACATTGCCGAAACTCTGGTACTGCTCTATTACTTCTTCGCAGTTCTTACTTTTTGCTCCTTTCCATTCATTTGTGCTCCAATTCGTCCTAGAAATTCAACCCGCAATAAAATAAAAAGGTGGTTCAACAACATATGGAACATTTTTGTGAACTTATTTCAGTCGACAATGAAAAATTAGTTCAACAACATATGGAACATTTTTGTGAACTTATTTCAGACCGTGTACCCGCTTCTCACTGTCTTATTCGTCGTTTTTACAATTTTTATATTCAGTTTTGTTGAATTCTCGGTATTTCTGCTGTCGTTATTACTACGTCTGCCACCTTTTTCGTAATTTGATCTCTTTTATTTCCGTTAGTTACAGTTCGTACTCTCCAATTCTTCCTCTGGCTGGAGTCACACTGATCCAAAGAAATACCTCATGAAATGCCACTTGTTTAATGTCCCCGTCACAGTTCCAGTCCTTCAGGCCAATTCCCAGGAACCTGTTCTGATTTCCACCGGAGAGAAGAAGTCGACACGTGGTCACTCCAATATTTATTCATCTGCTTTCGGCCGTAGTGCAGCGATTCCGGACTGGAATCCAAATTCTTTCCGGAGCCTTGGTTTAGTACGACTCTGCACCTTTGTAGCCCTACTTTTTCCATCCATCCGATACTTCCTTTCCAAAAACAAAACTAGTAACGTAAAGTTGACAATATTCGCCTTTGTCAGTAATGAGCAGATTTCTCGAAAAAGCAACTTTTCATGGCTATAATGCAGTAACCTGTTTATTCCACGATTGAACTTTGAGTGCTATTACCCTTACAGATGAAGGTGACTTCTAAGTATGATTCTCTTGACTCAA